GGAAATTAATAGCCTCCCAGAGGCAGTACGCCTCCAAGAAAAGACAGCAGTAAAGTTCATCAGAATTATTTGTTTAAGAGGAAGAGAAGTGCACGAACGCGGCCTCAATCAGCCGACATTTAAAGGATAATTCCAATCCTCTAAAGCTACCGCGTGCACTGTAAGCAAAAGTTAGTACTTTTAAGGTTTTTCTTTTATACGGATAATTCCAATCCTCTAGAGCTACCGCGTGCACTTGGTGTAGTTGGAGGTTCTTCAGTTGATAAAGGAAAAAATGTTCAATTAGTGTTCGCTTTTGTTTCGCCAAAAGGGTATACTCCACGGTAACTAAAATTTCAAGTTATTGTTTTGTTACTTTCACCATAGGGCTATTCGCGATCCGGTGCAAATGGCCTAGCATCATTGCATTGCAAATTATTTGCAATACACAAACAAAATACACGCATTTGCATTTGTCANCCATAGCATAAAAATGCTATGCATTGCATTCATAAACAAAACCAAAGCTGATGCAAAAAAATTGTTTTGCAAAAGATTTACCATGACAGTTTAATAGAGGTCGCTCCCAATCCATGGAATATTTTTGCAATTGCATAAATTTGTCAGCTCTTATGCACCGCATCGCGAATAGCCCTCATATTCTGTAACAGCAAACTGCATTGCAAAATGTTAATATCGCTCAAATTATTAAAAAGCAAAATATATGACACACTTTTCCATTTTCGCTCCTAAATACGCTTCAAAAACATTCCCAGCAACCACAAAAATGTAGTCGCCTGTATACACACTGTGTAGCAACTGCAGTTGTCAGTTGAAAGTTGCCAGTTGCCATCTGTAATATCGTTTTGGCAACTATAAATGCAACTAAAGTTCGATTGCTATCGATAATCGACCCATTAGATACATACTCCTCTCTAAACTCTATAGGGCTTCGCTCTTGCTGGGTTACATTCCTAGCAGATGGTCTGAGGTTAAGGTCGTGTTTCTACGAAAAATGGGTAAGCCCGAAATTATCGTCGTCTTACCAACCACTTAGCTTGAGCTCCATTCTCCTAAAAGGCATGGCAAAATACTGGAGAAGTCAACCTACGGAAACGTTCTGTAAACAAAAACCAGTTTGCCTATCAACAGGCAAATCTATGGAGACTGCATTCTTTGCCTACCTGCAAAAAATTAGAAAGCTCAGTTCCTNGTCTTACCAACCACTTAGCTTGAGCTCCATTCTCCTAAAAGGCATGGCAAAATACTGGAGAAGTCAACCTACGGAAACGCCCTGTAAACAAAAACCAGTTTGCCTATCAACAGGCAAATCTACGGAGACTGCATTCTTTGCCTACCTGCAAAAAATTAGAAAGCTCAGTTCCTTTTGATAACACGTCACATAAGGCAATAAAAGATGCCTTATTAAGCACAGATGTAAACCCAATAATAACCTAGTGCGCCTCTTGTTTTCACTAGCGGTGAGTAAGGGTTAGAGTTCGGCAGTGAATAGCTCAGCTTATGAATATATTCACATGCTCATGAATCACCCGATTGTTCACTGAAACTTGCTCTCACTAAAAAATGTTACTCTCCCTCAATTGCTTGACGTGCTTACAAACTAGTGAGCATGAATATCTTTCACAATCGCTGATCGCTTCCACTTGGNGGTTAGAGTTCGGCAGTGAATAGCTCAGCTTATGAATATGCTCACATGCTCATGNAGTTAGAGTTCGGCAGTGAATAGCTCAGCTTATGAATATATTCACATGCTCATGAATCACCCGATTGTTCACTCAAACTTGCTCTCACTAAAAAATGTTACTCTCCCTCAATTGCTTGGCGTGCTTATAAACTAGTGAGCATGAATATCTTTCACAATCGCTGATCGCTTCCACTTGGCCTGGCTTGCTTCTCTTTATGCAATTGTTTGAGAGATTCATTGTATACCGCTAGATGAGTTAAGTAGCTCATACACTCCGTTGCATAATTATAAATCCAGTACAATAGTCTTTGAAACAGCCTTCACAATCAAGATAGGTAAAAACTTTCTTCTATTACTTTTGCATGGTAAGAGCTCTGTTATAATAGAGTGGTTAATTTTTTTATAATCATAACCTTATTTAAAAGATTTTAAAACATCTAAAAATTACTTGTCGCAAAAGACGCGGAGCCGTGATAATTTCACCATACTCGAGGTGCTAGTAACGTTGTAAGGCCCTCCAAATTGCTCGATGACCAACGGGATCTGAACATTTTGCTGTTAACTTCTGGCAAATTGTGACGGAAACTAACAATATTCGGACCCTTGTGCTCTCTTGACCACAATCCAATGGAAAAACTGGCAAAGAAAGTTGATGCTGATAATCGCCAATTTGAAAACGTCATATGGCTTAAATTGGCGGTTTTGCAAGAGTGGCATAAACTGGATGCTGCTTTACCGAAGACATTATGTCATAGTATGAGGAAGCACATATTTTTGTTAATTAAAGTGAATGGAGCACAAATAGGGTATTAGAAGGACATATTTGCATGTTTTACTTATGTTATTGGGATTTCCTTTTTCGGATTTATAGTTTTTCAACAAGTAATTTTTAGATTTTTTTTAAATCTTTTAAATAAGGTTATGATTATAAAAAAATTAACCACNGTATTTTTGTTAATTAAAGTGAATGGAGCACAAATAGGGTATTAGAAGGACATATTTGCATGTTTTACTCATGTTATCGGGATTTCCTTTTTCGGATTTATAGTTTTTCAACAAGTAATTTTTAGATTTTTTTTTAAATCTTTTAAATAAGGTTATGATTATAAAAAAATTAACCACTCTATTATAAGAGAGCTCTTACCATGCAAAAGT